CGCGGAGCCTCCGAGCGGCCCGCGCGTCCTCAGAGCCCGACCGGGACCGAGTTCAGTGTAAATCCCGCAGAGAACAGCGGCGCCGCGGGGGAAGTGCAGTAGTTCCCGCAGCGCGGCGAGGCGTTTGCTCGCGGAACATCCGCGCCAGGGCGCAGGCGTGCCCGAGTGCCGCTTCAGCGTGTTCACACGCGTTGTGCCATCGCTTTACAGCTGAGCGCAAGCACAGTCTGGATTCAAACTCCAGGTCTCCTCCGACCCTGTCAGAACGTCCGCTTCTACCCCACTGCCTTCCATTTTCAGCAGTGGCACAAAAAAGGGCCTTGTGCTGCGTTCTACGTGCTCAATTTTCCTTTACTTTTAAGGCCCTTGGTGGTACATCCTGGTTCTAGGCACCTTCTTCCTCTGCGTCAGGCTTGGAATGCCCCTGTCCAGTTCCCTGCTCTGGTCATACCCTGGTCATTTCACTTGTATGTGATGAGACATAGAACTGCAGTGTATGGGAGGTTTTCTTTTCCCCCTCCGCTCATTTTCTTTACTCCAAGAGGAGCGGCAGCACAATGGAGTGCTTTGGTGCAGATTTTAAGAATCACGTATACGTGCCTTGCTCTGTGGCACACATGAAAAACACACTTAGAAATGATTTGTGGTTGTCCGTAGGTCTTAAAGGAGATGGATCCACAGATTTACCTTCGTTTTGGCGAGTTCATTTATTCCAGAGGATCAAAATTACGTCTTTATTACAGAGCTTTTGTCTGCTCCCTGAATACCTTTCATACTTGGAATTTAACTAAGCCACTAGAAGCTAGTAAAGAGCTCAGGCCAAATGGCCCCCTGAAAGCTGTGCTCCTGAGGACACATCAGCAGGACACAGTGTATTTAAACTATCTAGATGAGGCTGAATATGGCGCTTCTGAAGACTGTGTAGCATCACTGAGAAATCCACAGCTAGGACTACTGTCCAAATGCCAGGCTGCCTTGGTGATAAGGGAAATGTGGAAAAAAAAATGCAAATGTTGTTATTGGACCAATAACTGTATAGCTGTAGATGTTGAAAGGTAGTCCCTTCTCTCGCAGGCAAAGACACCATATTGCCTGTGGGAAAATGGGAAATCCTTCAGCAAGACTCTTAACATGCATCAGTCCAACTATTTTTTCTTGTAGAGTTTCTTACTTTTTCCCTCTTTTACAGGAGAAGTTTCCTAAAAACAAAACTTACTTTTACTACTCCAAATACCAACATTAAGTACCTCTGTGTCGACAAAATCCTTGACAGCAATTAAATGCTTTCTATGCCATGTCCTCGGTATGAAAATTACCCTACCGTTACTTTTCCCTGTTGACTATGTTCCTTTACCATCCATTACCATTAACCTGAATTGAGTAGAATTTGGAGTGCTTTAAAGTGCCTCATACGGTGAAGAAACAGCATTTGAAGGACCCGCAGGTGCTACCACAAGGTAAATAGCTAATAGTGTCATTACTATGCATTTTTCAAGTTTTCTAATATATTCAGCAAAGCTTATTAATCCTTCCTCCATATTAATAAATGATCTCCAACATACTAAAATTGTTTGTGTTTTGAGAGTCTACTCTGACTGAAGCCTCAAGGCTGCCCTGCCTACAGGCAAGAGGCAGAAAAGGACTCTGGCTCTGCTTCTGAAATAAAACTGGGAGCTATACTGGGAATTAGAGACCATCAGAATTTAAAAATGGCATAGCGGGTCATGTTCTGCTAGGCTCTACCCCCAGCATGGTTTCTAAGTGCAGGCTGGCAAAGCGTGGCAAAATCATCACCACTTTCTATTTACATTAGTTGGTATTGCCCCTTCTATGTACAAAAGTATAATGGAAAGTAATGACACAGCTGCAATTTCAGCTTATATTTGTCTTCTAGGTTTAACAATTAGAAATATTCTGTTATAAATGGTCTAATATGCCAGGCAGCGAGAAAAATTACATTTTATTTTTAATCTTAATTAAAATGTGAATATCAGTATGTTCGAATAAAAACTTTATTTAAGCCTCACAGGACACAATCACACAGGTAAGTTGTAGTTTTACACCTCTTGGCACCAGCTTCACTTAACTGGTCTGATTTTTAGCTATGTCACAGCACTATGGAGAATTAAATGACAAAGACCATTAAAAGCCTAATGTGTTTTTCATAGGCAGGTTGTTTGAATTTCTAATGCTTATTTTGAAGCCTTGTACAAAGAGAAAATGGGAGACGATAATTCATTAGCATGCAGAAACTAAAAAAAAATACTATGAGAAGTCTTGTTTTTGAGAGAGACAGAAGAGGCATGAGGTAAGGAATTTCAGTTAGGTTCTTTGAAGTGTGCTGAGACAGTCATCATTGTCCCCCCCAAAAAAAGAGACAGATTTCCAACATGAATGATAAAAGCAGTTTTCAGAGGACACAAATTATTTAAGTATATTAGGGTTTAACAGGCCATCACCTTTTG